TTTTTTAATATTTTTTTCACCATTTTTTCGAGCATTTTATCGGCTTTTTTAAGGAAAAAATTTTTCTTCGGCTTCAAGGGGTAGTAAAAGAATTCAAAACTTTGCTCTGATATTCGAGCAATATTGTTTAGATTACACTTATTGTTCCGAGTTTCGAATGCTCTGATATTCGAGCAATATTGTTTAGATTACACTTATTGTTCCGAGTTTCGAAGACAATGACGGAGTATTTGTTCTCGTGATGGTTTTTGTTCAGACAAAATTCGAAATTTCAACAAACTTTCTGAACTCAAAATTAAAACGATTTTTCACCTGTGATCAATTTTTGTATAGTTATGGCCATATAGGGTTTTAAATATGGCCAATTTGAAACAACTAAATTTGGGGTGGTTTTTGCTCAGTGATTTTTCTTCTTTCTAGCTCAGCGTTTTTGATAAAGAAGTTTTTATACCATCTGAAAAATATTGCTGTCCCGTGCTCAGAAGTAAAAAAAAACACCTGCAATCAATTTTTATAAAACTCTAGGGGTTTGGTTAAGGTATTTTGGCCAATTTGTGATAGTTAGGCTCAATACTTTTGTGACATTTAAAACTTACTATACGCAAAATCTATGATTTTGTACGTAACACAGCGTATGGGACGATTAATTAAAAAAAAAAACACAATTTTTCATTTTTCTAAAAAAAATTTAATGTTTCTTAAATCGAACACTTCTCCATAGGACTTAAAGACAGTCAAAACATTCAACGCTTTGCCCTGATATGAGCACTGTTGTCTAAATTTGGCTTCGTTCAAACTCGTTATTGAAGAAAAAATCATACATTTATCGAAATCCACAACCAGCAATTAGTAGATCAATAAATTCTAAGTAGCCTTCATTGGAAGTATTCTGTAAGAGTTACACAGTGTATGAGACTTCCTTGCATTCACGTTTCTCTAAAAATGCGTAGTGTAGCCGGTGGTTTATTCCGTCTCAGACAAAACTAAACTTTTTTGAAATTGAAAATTGGGGTGGGGGGGGGGGGGAGGGGAAACTTTTAAATAATGACTCGGGAAAATTATCAGTTCGAATTTCTATCAAAAACAAACTATTAATTTTATTTTATTTTTTTTAGTTCAAAAACTGGGATACGTAACAAAAGTATCAAAACACGGATCAAGAATAACAAAAACTGATTATATTCAGTTTTTTTATTCTTGATCCGTGTTTTAATAGTTTATCTACAAATAATCGCAGTTTTTGACTTCGCTATCTTTATAAAAACGTTAAAATCCATTCAAAACTTGGAACCCTCAACTTGCTCGTAAGTATTCAACTTAATTAAGGAAACAAAAAATAATTAGATGCTCTACATTTAATAAAATTAGATTCCGTCGAACTTAACCCAACACGAAAAAAAATAGGCAATTCAAAAATCAGCAATCGAAAATCTGAAAACATTAAGCGTTAAATCCACTCATTTATGCGCTGTGTAGAGAATTTTTATTGTGTCAAAATTTTAGCGCATTCGATGCTTCAGTCACAAACAAACCCACTTGTGAAAACAACTACCCATGCAATTTACAGTAATTAAATGGGAACTTAAAACAATTAGTGATTTTTTTTTGCAAATGCAAGGAATGTTCCGATCACACTTTCTAATTACGCCAATTTGAAAGGAAAAATGGGAAAAGTTCCAATAATTTTTTTTATAGTTTTTTTTACAATCCTAGTGGGCCCAATTATATAGTACTCCTAATATTTGGTTATTATATTTGGCTGAAATACCGTTAAAAAAAATAAAACGATAGAATAAGATACGATTTGCCGCACCATTTGCCGCACTCGGTAGTGTATTAATTACAAATTGGTCTGAAAAACAGAAAAACTATCCAAGTTTTCTCAAAACAGACTTTTAAATTTTTGCCGGAACCCAAATCACGGCCACCAGCAGATTTTCAATATGATCCCTCAAAATTAACATCCAGTGAGATTTTTCAAGGCAGTCCAAACAAAATTGGGTGAAAGCAAACAATAGCGAATCTAAAGTTCCTTCTGACCACTTTCAGGGACAAGGTCTGGTTTGCTGGAGATAGTTAAGTTTGCTAAGGTGTCATCATTTGAAACTTTTCATCGCAGAGTGTTTTGGAAATTTTCATCGCAGCTCGAATTACAATTGAAAACCAATTTTAGCACCCTACATCACTCAAAGCTACTGTTGTGATCGTTAAGATCAAGTTTCGAAGGATTTTCCAACTGTGATCAATTTTGTTATTTTGTGGGGCTTTGAACTTTTTGGAAAACTTTTTTGAATTTTTTCGAACTTTTTATAGGTTTTTATATACTCTTTTTGAATACTTTTTTTTCCATTTTTTCGAGCATTTTATCGGTTTTTTATTTGGTAAAAATTTTTTCTTCGGCTTCAAGGGGTAGTAGAAGAATTCAATACTTTGCTCTGATATTCGAGCAATATTGTTTAGCTTACACTTATCGTTCCGAGTTTCGAAGACAATGGAGTATTTGTTCTCGGGATGGTTTTTGTCCAGAAAAAATTCGAAATTTTAACAAGAAACTTTCTGAGCTCAAAATTAAAACGATTTTTCACCTGTGATCAATTTTTGTATAGTTATGGCCATACAGGGTTTTAAATATGGCCAATTTGGAACAACTAAATTTGGGGTGGTTTTTGTTCAGTGATTTTTCTTCTTTCTAACTCAGCGTTTTTGATAAAGAAGTTTTTATACCATCTGAAAAATATTGCTGTCCCGTGCTCAGAAGTAAAAAAAACACCAGCGATCAATTTTCACAAAACTCTAGGGGCTTGGTTAAGGTCATTTTGGCCAATTTGTGATAGTTAGGCTCAATACTTCTGTGACATTTAAAACTTACTATACGCAAAATCTATGATTTTGTACGTAACACAACGTATGGGACGATTAATTTAAAAAAAAAACATTTTTTCAATTTTTTTTACAAAAAGTTTCATGTTTTTTAAATCGAACACTTCGAAAACGTTTTTAGTTGTTGCTCCAGAATCTTCCGAAAACGTTCTCCAATTTTGTTCCAAAATGTTCTTCTGTAATGTTTGTAAATGTTCTCAGAACATTCCAAGATACATTCCTAAAACGTTCCTGAAACGTATAGAGATCCTGCTAGAGAATATTTTAATTAAGAATGTTTTTGAAATGTTAATTCAGAAAGATATTTCCGTTAGGGTTAGAAATACGTTCCAAAAACGTTCTCAATGTAGAAAAACGAAAGTATACCACAGACCCGGAACGATTGAGGGGTTGAAATATTGAGGGGTTGAAAAGTGTTCCAAAGTTGTTCTTAGAACGTTTAGCAAACGTTCCGATGAAATTCCCAGAACGTCGAAAAAGTTCCCCGGATGCCGCACTACACATGGAACGTTCCTGGAACATTCTGGAACGTTCCACACAATTTCCATATCTGGCAGCAGTCGGAAAGCCGAATGACCGTTCCATTTTGTTCCAATCAGGGTTTGAAAACTGTTCCACGAGTGTTCCAGGAACGTTCCGGAACGTTCCAACTGCCGAGCTTAAAAGTTTGAACAAACGACATAAATACTCGGCGTTCCGACTTCTCAAAATGATTTGGAACGTTCTGGAACATTCTTGCAACACTTATGGAACACCCAATTGTTTACTGGGATTAAGGGAACAAAAAATGATTAGATGCTCTACATTTAATAAAATTAGATTTCGTCGAACTTAACCTAACACGAAAAAAAATAAGGCAATTCAAAAATCAGCTATCGAAAATCTGAAAACATTAAGCTTTAAAACCACTCATTTATGCGCTGTGCAGAGAATTTTGATTGTGTCAAAATTTTAGTGCATTCATTGCTTCAGTCAAAAATAAACCCACTTGTGAAAACAACTACCCATGCAAATTACAGTAATTAAATGGGAACTTAAAACAATTAGTGTTTTTTTTTTTGCAAATGCAAAGAATATTCCGATCACACTTTCTAATTACGCCAATTTGAAAGGAAAAATGGGAAAAGTTCCCATAATTTTTTTATAGTTTTTTTACAATCCTAGTGGGCCCAATTATATAGTACTCCTCATATTTGGTTATTATATTTGGCTGAAATACCGTTGAAAAAAAAACAAAACGATAGAATTAGATACGATTTGCCGCACCATTTGCCGCACTAGGTAGTGTATTAATTGCAAACTGGTCTGAAAAACAGAAAAACTATCCAAGTTTTCTCAAAACAGACTTTTAAATTTTTGCCGGAACCCAAATCACGGCCACCAGATTTTCAATATGATCCCCCAAAATTAACATCCAGTGAGATTTTTCAAGGCAGTCCAAAAAAAATTGGGTGAAAGCAAACAATAGCGAATCTAAAGTTCCTTCCGGCCACTTTCAGGGACAAGGTCTGGTTTGCTGAGGATAGTTAGGTTTGCTAAGGTGTCATCATTGGAACTTTTCATCGCAGAGTGTTTTGGAAATTTTCATCACAGCTCGAATTACAATTGAAAACCAATTTTAACACCCTTCATCACTAAAAGCTAGTTTTCTTTCAATTCTGAATCCGATGCAACTCCTGCCATACCGTGTTGTATGAGTAATTACTGCGTCCGTACGGATTGGCAACTACGATGGGAACTCATTAACTCAATGAACAATAAAAAAAATAACTGAAACATTTTCTCTTAAAACGTTGCTCTGAACGTTCAGTGCTCTTCGCATTACGGACTGGCCGTGTTGCTCAAGGTTAGCTGACCTGCAGTACATATTATACAAATAGGTATAAATAAATATATATGTACATCAACTTGGTTATTGCCAATCCGGCCAGATGACAACTTCCCTCTACGACGTATTTCGTCAGCGTTTACACTTAAACAAGCTTCATCAACTTCGAAATTACATACATTACTTGAAAACGTAGATAAATTTGTATTTTCTTCACACCATAATTGCCATTCCCAGCCAACACCAAAGAACAGGTTTGGGCAGATTTTCGACTCTTAATGTCTTCATTTAGATCATCTGGATGGTACTGGCTGGCGTTTCGAAGGGCACAACTGGACGGGCCTTGGATTGACCAGCTCACCGGGAGAGAGACCAACTTGACAAATTGGGGATTTGGTGAGCCGAATTATCAAGTGGACGAATTGTGCACTGCATATAAAAAGCTCAGCTACTTCGGAATTGCCGACACGACATGCAATAAAGACTTGAATGTTCTCTGTTTCATGAAGTAATGAGTAAGACTATTTGTGCAAAATTCCCATTCACAAACCATGTGCATAAAGATGTTATCCAAGTAGAAAAAATATAACGTATGTATGCTAATTGAGCAAGCTCTTTTCTCCTGCCACCTCCTCGTGCAAAACTTCAAATGAAAAAAAATCTTATTAAGTTTGTTTTCATTGGCCAATAGTTTACGTGCTTTTTCACGTTTTTTAAATTTTCATATTTTCGCTTTTCAAAATTCCACTTTTTGGTCGCTATTTACATCGTAAAAATTAGGATTGTAATAAGATATTTATATTCACACCATTGACAGTTTTTCGCTTGGTTCAACAGTAACGCAACAACACGCAACTCGTAACAAAAAAAAACTAACAAATTGCAAAAATAAAGAAAACAAACCGCTCACAAGACCTGAAAACAAAATGAAGACTTAAAAGTTTCGATTTAAGGTCCCTTCACGGCGATAACCTGGTTAAAGTTTTAGTTAAAGACCTTATCTTCTGTTACCATGCTCTCAGCACTTAAGCGCGACTGCGGTGGTGAGTATATTGCGAGTTGTCTTTTGTTGCGAGTAGTAATGATACGTGGTTTTACATCTAGTACGCTAATTCTTAGCCAGTTTCTAATTCACCTTTCAATCGCAGTCGGGCTGATTTCACTAAATAAACCCTTTTACTCTTACTTCACACCAAGTGAACAATATTTCCCAAAATCAATTTCAGAAAGAGATCGCCGAAATTAGAACCTTTTCAGTCAATCAGAATTTGCTATTTGAGTTCAGCATTTTGCATGTCGGAGTCTTAGCGTAAGCTTGCCATTCAGTTTTAGGGGTTAATTTAGGGATTCAAGTGTCCAATTGGTTAATTTGAGGCAGAAGTTGTTCACAAGGGCCAAAACTTAAACTGATCTCATGTATTTATGATTAAAACTAAACTTAACATGTATTTATGATTACTAAACAAATTATGATAGTATCGTCCTCGGTGGAATTAATGTCAAAAACACCCGAACCACCCAACTGCATCCCAAACGCGGTTTGAAAAATAATGATATTCCATCACTATCCATCAACTGTTCTATCCATCAAACGATTTATTCAATGATTTAAAACTTTTGCGCTGAAAATGCACATGGAGCTCTTTTCACCTTGCCCCACCTCACATAAATATGAAGTTTATGCTGCAAAGAACCATTTTACACGGTTGAACAAAATACGAGAATGTTTGTCATAGTGTCCGAATTTTTTTAAAAAAATTGGCATGCAGACTAATTAGCCTATGACAAATATTCTGGTATTTTGTTCAACCATGTAAAATTCGGACACTCTGTACCAGGGGCGGATCTAGGATTTTCTTGAGGGGGTGGGGGAGGGCTTTTCTTGAGGAGTAGTATTTTCTCTCCTAAAGCACTTAATTTTTGAAAAAAACAGGTAAAAAAGCCATTGTTGCAAAAAGCCATCAGGTCAGGCCATTTTTGGAAAATTTTGACAAAAACATCGCGTTTTTTGGCGCGCGATCCCCCTCAAAGTTAGTATATATTGGCGCCCAGGGCGTCTATAGAAAAATTTTAGGGTCGGCCGGCCAAAAATGGATTTCTTAACAAGTACCAAAGGGGGACCCTTTGGGTCGAATCCCTGAGGGGGGGCGTCCGCCCCCCCCCCCCTAAATCCGCCCCTTTTATGTACAAAACACTGCTTTAAAAAATTTGGTGTGGGAAGAGGAAAATGAACCGCATTTAGTATTGAAATCCACCATTTACAACACACCGGGGGGGGGGGGAGAGGGGTAACAGATCCCATTCGATTTTTGGATAGTGATGACAGCGTAGCTCAATCAAAAGATGTGATTTTAATATGTATTCAATAGCCGACTTAATTGAAGATTTAAATTTTTGGCTGACTAGTTTGATCCCTAGACGTCTTAGTCAACAATTTAACTATGTGTAAAACTAGTTTGTTCCCTAGACGTCTTAGTCAACAATTTTACTATTGGTAAATTTATTGTAACGAGAGCGTGCGCCGCAGAAAATTTCTTAAAATTTTGATCAACATTCGCCAAAAAGGCACTTTTGGTACAATTTCTGATACACATACCAGCTGCGGCGGACGTTTTGGCGAAATAGGGTCTTTTTAAAGGTTGCATTTGAGATCTAGCATTTCAATTGAATTGGCCAAAAAGAAATTTTTCCGAACTTTCATGTGTGTATTGTTCATAGTGTGTTCCTGAAAAAATGCTCTTGTATGTTTTTGAAATCCGGCTTGCTTTGACAAATTCTGACAACGGAATTTTGTTTTAATTGATTTGTAAAGTAGTTTAGTGGAAATATTGCAATTTCTATTCATTAAAACAGCGCTGGAAAATGTATGCTAAAATATGAATGTATGAAACATATTTACATTAACAATGATAATGAAAGCTGACCGCAAAAAATCTGAACTCCATTTTATTTCAAATTTATCTGAAGCCTTTGACATAACTTGGTATAACCTGAATAATTCTGAATTTAATTAAACATTGTGCATTACTTTACTTTTAATTATATAGCTAATCATGTACAATTCGTTGTCCGATTTCTATAAGATTATCGTTAGTTTTAACGTTCGCTCGCTTCACAGAGGTAATTCTACCACTATAGTGTCCGTGTCTTCTACCGAGTAAAACGAGAGTGTTTTCAAGTCGGATTCCAGAGAGTACTCGCTGTCCGGGTGTTGGTGAGGTCTGTAAGACAGCTCCATGGGATGAGAAGCCGCCACTTTAAGCAACCGACTAATGAGCAATTTGATTTTACCAACTGTCATTGAGCTCAAAAGCTTGATCTGAGACAGCGTTTTTTCATCTGAAATTTCCCCTTTTGCATTCCTCTTGCGCGATACAATGTGCACTTTCAGTAGCTGAGATTTGATTTTATCATTTGTGTTATTCGTCGGGACAATCCCGTCGCCGATCTTTTTAAACAAGTCAAAGTATGTTGGATGCAACTCCATAAATGACTTGTCAATTTTATCCCTGTCCAAATTTTCAGGTGTGTTTAGGCCGCCAGCTTTTAACCAGTCATCATAATATAATTTAATGTACAAAATGGAGGCGGACTTTCTTTCCTCTTTTAAAATATCTGTCTTGTTGAATAATTGCAGATGCGGCAGTCGTGAAATGATTTCATCCCGAAATCTTTGCACGTTCAAGTCACACAGGGGATTTTCATATAGAAGTAGATTGGATAGCTTCGGCAGAAACGCAAGCCGACTAAAATCTTTCCAATTCTCTATTTTGTTTCCTGCGACAATCAGCATTCGCAGATAAGCAAAACCAATTTGCGACTGTTCGTGTGGTACGTCAATTCTTTTGATTTTGTTGTCCAGCAAATTTATCATCTGTAGATTCGGTAAATGTGCCAACTTTTGGACCTCAGCCCAGTCAGAAAGTTCGCATTGTTGAAGCGCCATCTTTTCCAATTTCTCTAAGCTACCCTTGGGAGGCACCGACAAAGTTGATATTCGGTTTAACGCAAAAGATCCTGTTATTAAGTTCGGAAACAGGTCTGTCAACTTGACGAACTCTTCGAAAGTTAAATTAACAGCATCGCAGTGAAATTTTTGAACTCTTGGAAACTGTTTCAGGCACTTGTAATCTGGAGTTTTGACTCTAAACTGATTGAAGGAAATGTTTATACTTTTCAAGTTATGGAGCCCTGTTAGAATTTGTAATGGCACGTTTATATCTTCTATCAGAGTTTTACTGATGTTTACGTAAGTCACTCGGGGAAAAATTGATGACAAATGGGCGGGACCTCCTTCCAAAAAGGAAACAGGATAAGCGGAGAGATCCAGATCTGTCTGATAGAGGTTCCAGGCTTGATCTTTCGGCACATGGCACTTTCCATCTTTGCTTCTGTTGTAAAACTGGATTTCCTTTCCTCCCATATTGAAGAAATTCACTACGTCCGGACTGTCGTCTATTTTCCCGATTGGCATGTAGCGTATTGAGATCGCTTCCAACACTCCGATTCCTCGCTTCAGGTGTTTCTCCCGGACGAACGAAGCCGACCCAGATGGATCCTGACAGGTGAAGTACGACTTGCCCTTGTAGTCTCCTTTATGTTTTCCCCGCTCTTTTTCGTCCCATTCAATGCCAAACCAAGTTCCGCTTTGATCCTCTAGCTCGCCTATAAATCTGAGGGTGGCGAAATGGCCTCCGACGCTTACCCGATTACCGACGACGAAAGTTTCGCGCATTTCGTCAGCTCTGAAATCGAAATTTCACTAAAAACTTTTCAGAGAAAAAACCAAATCTTTTATTTGCTTACAAGTCTTGTACGCTCATCTCACCAATGATAGAGCAGCACAACAGCAACAAGTTTTCTGGAAAACAGCAGCAAGATTTCTGGAAAACAGCAGCAAGATATCTGGAAAACAGCAACAAGATATCTGGAAAACAGCAGCAAGATATCTGGAAAACAGCAGCAAGATATCTGGAAAAAAGCAACAAAGCAAAAAACGCATATATTATGGTTTCCTCTTGCTTAAAAAACTAGATCCTTGCTAACATAGGGTTGGAAAATGACGAATTCAATTAACAAATGAAGTATCTCATTTTTATCTTTAGTGTGCAACAAGTCAAATATGACACAGAGGCCAGGATATGATTTTGAGATCAGGAGTATCAAGTTCTCACATCTGCTACACGGCCGCTTGTAATTTTACTAACACTAGCCACCAAGAAAGCAGCAAAAATTCGAGCCAAAAAATATAACTATTTCAGTGTTCCCGATTTGAATCTCCGATCTGATGCATAGGAGTGTCACTCACATACTCGAATCTGCCCCACGGTAACTTGAATGCTGAATGTACCTGTTTTAATATTTATAACCATATATTAAACTGATACGGAAATGAGTATTTTCAAAATTTCAAAAAATGGACTTCACGCAAAACCCTAATAATTTCTCTGCTTAAGCAGGAGCTTAGCTGCTTATTTAAAGGAGAAAACTACTATTCGCTGTTTCAATTAAACTCTTCATCTCAGCTTGCTCGGATAGTTTTCGAAAAAAAATTCAAAAAAACGATCAAAAAATCAAAAAAAATTGACTTTTCCTAAAGCCATAAACTTCTCTCTACTAAAAATGGGAATAGCCTCTTATGCACGGAAAATTTCGAAACCTTGAGTTTTAGACTGAACACTTCATATCAGATTTAGCTAGTGGTTCCCAAGTTCATATCGGCTTCTCTACAAAAAATAAGAGGAAACAGATTACGCAGAGGACATCTAAGCACCATGTTAGTTTGAATGAACTAACATAACCAATCGAAGATTAAAAAAGGGTAATGAACGCAATTAAACATTAAAAAACAGACTTTCTTGAAAAAATCTGAACATTCGAACTTCAAAGAAACAAATTGATACCCTTTCAGCTCTTTGAAATTATAGAACAATTTATGATTGGCTCTTTTTTGATAACATGAACCCAACTTGCGAAAACTGGATCAAATGGTAAAGATTTTTTCTGTTCAAACCTTAATCTCCGATTTGGCAGGGTAGTTTTGAGAAAAGTTTTAAAAATTAACCAAATGTCAAAAACTGGGCTCGTTTGAGGCCATAATTTTTTCTATCGAAATAAGGTACAACCGCTTGTGAAGAGTAGATCCCCAGGATTTGTTCTTTTGATTGAAACCTTCATCCTCCATTGGTACCCCTGTTAAAAGAACGGCAGAGTAGTTTCCGAGAAAAATTGATATTTCTGCGAAAAAAGAAAGACAAAAAAAGCTACAAAAAAACAACAAATCCCATACATTTTAAAAATACCTCTTTTCTTAAGCAAGACCTAACACTAGCCAAAAACAAAGCAACAACATATGCTATCATATTGCCCATGCCTAAATAGGCTTAGTTATGATTAAATTGAAACATACCAAAAGTGCCACCAAATGAGCACTTTTATTTGGAACTGAGGTTAGAAAAAAACTCTTCGTAATAATACACTACGCTTCGCTTTAAAAAAACAATATGTGTTTGTTGTGCAATTCACCTAGAAGGTTCTGACCAGATAAAAAATTGCAAATTTGTATTTTTGTGTGTAATTTTGTGGGCTTATTATCTCTCAACCCTATCTGTGTATATTTGCGTTAAGCTGACTTGCGTGAAAAAAAAAGATTGAATCCTAAATTCCTTCCAACATCGTAGTCGGAATAACTAACATCTCGCACTGAAATTTCATGACCAAAAAAATTTAATTATACTCGATTGAAAATGGATTGTCTTCTTTCTTTGTCAAATCAATAAAACCTACTTTGATCGATTATAATCAATTATAATAGTTTATGATCAATTTTTCTTAACCTCAATTTTTCAAAACTTGTCGGTTGCTTATGGCTTTCACACATTGAGTTAGACAAAGTGAGATTTTCTTTAGCTGAGAAAATTTTTATTGTTCCGACCATTGGAAATTCTTCGGGTGTGCTTTAGTTTTTTGTTTTCCACGCAAAATCATGCACCACAAACAATCGTCTGACTGTGTCGTGTGATACATCATAATCAAGCATTTCCAGTCGTGATTCGAACGACAAAATTTCAAAAAAATTCGCACAGTCGAGAAAAACCGGTTTGAAACTTTTAGTTTTGTCTAATTTCGAGCTAATGAAGCAATCGAGTAACGTTCGTTATATGAAACTTAGTCATTTGAGCTGAAGAAACTTGATTTCACTAAAAAAAAACTTTTCAAATGCTATTCAATAGCTTCATCAAAATAGAAACCTTTTTTGTAGTTTTTTTTTAAAATAAAGTTTGCCAGAACATTCTGTATTACTTAGGCAGTAACCGGTTATTCTTAGCTTGTTTTCACTTTCTGTTCACAATTTTTTGTGTAGATATTTTAAGTTTGTTGTTTTTGCTGGCCTTAATTAACCCTTCGTTACGTCCCTTATTTTTGTCCCTCCAGCGTGTGACCACTCGCCATCCACGTTACCCCGGGGTGGGGTTGTGGGCGTGTGCGGTTGGAGAGGTTTGAAAATTGGGGAGGATGTCAAACGTTGGGGGGGGGGGGGGGGGGGGGGTGAACACGGGGATGAATTTGTTAGTTCGGGTTCTGATTATGCAGAACGCTGCAACAAATAGAGTCAAAATTTCCCAGAAAAAGATTTTCACGTGTTTTATGAACAAAAATAACCGATGATATTGAAAATAAGCGATTAAAATAGCCGAAAAATCCATCGTCCTGTTTTATGGGTCAAGAAAATTAATGATTCGGGTTAAGTTTCCGGCCAAAATAATCCATTAAAATCGATCAATTCCCATCAAACTCTAGTGTGGGTTATTTCTTTAAGCAACTTCAGTATGATTTATTTCAAGGAAAGTTTCCGATATTTAAAACAAAACCCAAAAACAATTGGTTTAATTTTTTTTTCTGTAACTGTTTAAATGCATAGTAGCATCACTCCCTATTTTAGCGCCATATCTTGATATCTTTATGAGAAATGAAAACAAGTCAATTTATAAATCTTTTTCAATAGATAATTTTTCAAGCTTTTCAAATAAAACTGATTTAAAAATCATAATAAATGTAAATTAAACTGTACAATAAAATTTAATCTTTCTACAATACGTAAAACAAAAATTACAGAAATAAATTATTTAAATGCATTGTAATTATAATTTGTATAATTTTCAAAAACCAGCACCGCCAGTTAATTTCGATGAATCATTTTTCCTCGATTTTCTTTTGCGCACGCGTGTAGAGCAACACGCCGAAGAATACAAAAACAGCACCTGCGAACGATGTGAACTGCAACTGTGACGAAACAAATATCGCGTCCACGATAAACGATATCGGAATCAAAATGCATGAAACCACAGCGAACCTCTGCGCCGAGATGTTGTCCAGAGACAATTTGAAAAACACTATTGTACCTATACTAACCATTACATGGAACAAAATCTTATCCCAGTCTAATTTGACAAATTCAAGGCTAGATGGAAAATAACCGCTGATGATGTATTGCAATAACCCCGTAACTCCAAACATGAATATAAACTGCGAAGAGGTGATGAAACACGAATTTCGATGAGCGATTTGAAGGAAAACAGAGTTCGCTCCGCCGAAGAACACCGCGGCACAAATTATGAAGTAACCAATACCGGGAATGTTGTAGCTTGCTGCTTCTGTTGCAAAGAAGAATGAAGGCTTTGCAATGAGCGAAGCTCCTATCAGAATCAAAAACGTGCATAAAAGACTAAACAGACCGAAGGGCTGATCAATTAAAAGTGAGCTCATGATCCCAGTAACAACAACTCGCAGTCGGTTGATGACGTAAGCATCGCTAGTTGCCAAATGATTCAAGGTCAGAAGGTAAGTCAAGTTCATATTTACAGTTGCGAATCCATTCAGCGCCGCAAAGTACATCAGTTTTGAGTCCCGTAGCAAGTAGAGTAGATCACCACTTCGAATGCCATCGATGAGTCCCAAAATGAAAAAAGCGATGATGCGCGCGAACAGAAACTCGTCGGGTGACGCAACAACTGCTCGACGGGTGACTGCGGCGCCAACCAGGAAGCAAACTCCATTGAGCACACAGAAAATGTCCCCTTTCAAGGTTTCCGATGCCTTTTTAGAATTCACAGCCTGTTTGGGCGCACTCATCTTTTCATGACTCTACTCTGAAAATCCAACGCTTTAAAAAATGGCGAACAGAAGATTCCAGAAAATTTTGTAATCAAGGATTTTCTTGCAATTTGAGAGCTGAACACAAAGCCAACATAAGCACATAGCCAACAGGCGGCTGGAAAAAGGTTGATTAACTGGACAAGAGTTGATTAACGTTTTTTGTAATTTTCGGAGAAAAAATAGTATGTTAAGGCTTTAGAAATGGGTGACATCGCTCTTCCCCAGGGGAACAAGGCCCAAGATATTAAGGATTGAGTAGAGCCGGGGGCTAAAAAACCGATGAGTCTACATTTCATAAAAAATTATTCAAAATTATCTCTAAACTGACGTTCTTTTTTGAACATATTTAAAAAAGTAGCACAGGATTTTAAGACCATTTTCTCGAAAAACTACAAAAACAATTTTTCAAATAAGTGTCGTTTGTTGCGCGTAGTGTGATAAAAGGATCTTAACGAAAACTACACTTATGCATCTTCGACAGTCATAGTGAAATAGGCAAACTGCATAACAGTTTTAGTATAAAAATGACTAGAACAAAATTATTAAAAGTTTCAAAAAATTTTTCTCAATTTATTCAGTAGAATTTAATTTCTACTACTATCTTCCTATCTTAGACACGTCCTAACAGTACTTCTACGCCAAATGCGAACAGTTACGTACCACAATTTAAATTCAATTATGACGTTAATTGGGGGCAAGTGTACGTTATCTTCTCATACGTACGAATCCAGCGAACAATATTTCTTACGCGAGAAAAAAGTTTTTGTACATTAAAAAATTAGTTCAATTTCTCATCTTAACAAAGTGGCAAATATAAGCGACGAAAACAGTTTATACATAGAAGTTCGGAAACGGTATTTGTCTATCCTTTGACTGATCTCTTACTATACCCCCCCTCCACCAGCGTACCTAGTTACGAATTCCCACCCCTGTTAAGAATTAATTCAATGTGTACGCATCTGTAAATTTACTAACCCCCCCCCCTCTGGTTGCCAAATTTTTCCAAAGGGTCCCCCCTTTGGTATAACTTTATGACATCCATTTTTCGCTGAATAACCGCAAAATTTTTCTAAAGGCACCAATTTGACTAAGTTTGAGGTGGGAGCGCGCGCCAAAAAAAGCGCATTTTTTGGGTCAAAATTTACCAAAAAAACCTAAAAACGCTTTATACTATTTTGGAGAGCTCGGGAAATCAAATTCAATCTAAAAAAAAAGTTTTTTTTTAGATTGTAAAAACCAATTTTATCTGCATTATACACGTGCAGATAAAATTGGTTTATACAATTTTTATGCGGGGTTCCTTTGTATGCTGTTATTTACACAAACCGTGTTTTAATTCAATTTTCTTTAGTATTACGGTTAATTTAGAACGAGTCTGCACTATACTCAAAGCTTATAAAAAAGCTTATAAAAAGCTTATAAAAAATCCATGGATGGGTGGATTATTGTTCGGCTATCTAATAAATTCGTCTCATTATTTGATTAAACTATACTTTCTTCACCAAACTCTTCCTTTTCGCGCCAGAAATCTACTCATAACTTAACAGGTCAGCAGCTAGAAATGACCGCTAACTAGTTGAGAGTACTTAAGTTTCTCAGGTCATTACGAGGGACCTTTATCAAACGGGAGGCAAAACACTGCGGTTTGAGAAATCCAACACAATATTTCTATCAATTATCAAGCATTAGAACCAGCGTTTTCTGGCCTTTTCTAATGAACAAACGGCGATATTAACCTAATGATCCATGAAGCATTAACAGTTTTAACTTTTGGTAAATTGTTGAACTTATCACTGCTTTCTGCAAAAACATGTGTAATTATTCATGTATTCATGACCTATAAATACTTCATTCTATAATTGAACAGAAAATAGTTTGATTCAATTTAGGTTTCAAACCAGGGGAGGGGGTCTGGAGGTTAGAGTCTTTTGGCTTTGTTCCACGCAGTAGTGGCGAAGTTGTGTACAGTTTGGACTGAGTCTTCGCGCATGCTTGGAACTTGTAGGAATATCAAGAGAGATCCCACTACAATCACAGTCATGTAAATTATGATCAGAATCCTGTCCAGAACTTTCGCGAATACGTGCCACTCGTCTTTGATCTGGAATAGAACATCACAAAATGGCTTTTTCCGGATCTACTTAACAATTGCACCCCCCCCCCCTTTTTTTAGAAGGGGGGGGGGCAATTGTTATGTAGATTAAAATAACGCATTTTCGACCAATCAGATTGCAGCAAAATTGGAAAATACAAAGCTCTAGCGCTAATTTACTGTTTTTATTAATACGGGTGGCAATTCTTAAGTAGATACCAAAGGGAGGGCGATTGTTAAGTAGATCCCTTTTTCCTTCCCCCACCTCATACGAGCATCAATTTTTTAGTGTAACGAGTGGTTTTACTAGGTTAATTATGAAGCACAAATATGTTTGTAGTGGCCTAGTAATTAGTCTGCATGCCAGTTTTCATACCAATCGGACAATGTGAACAATAAATTTACTTTTAAAAATTGGCAAGTGATAGGGAAAAAGAGCCCACAAAAAAAACTCACTTTAAACAAGCGCGATCGTTACAACGAGTACCGGTTATTATAACACAGCCATTTATTATAACACAATTTAGGCTCATGGAAAAACTTGTAGTCAAAATAGTACTAACACGGAAAGTTCGCAACTTCCGATTTTTCCCTCGTAATTTGACAGAAAAGTGCTAGTAGCCGCTCGGTATGACGCCCAAGCTTTTATTTACCGAGCGACCGAGAACAAAAAAATGCCACAAGAAATTGTGGTCATGAAAATTTTTGAGCAATTAAAACTTGAACTTTTTACACCCCATCCACCTCTCAAATACTCCGAACATTAAAAATCAATTTATGGCCTGCAAACTATGCAAAATAAAGTGAAAAAGCTAATAAAACATAAGCCAAAACCATTGGATAAAAAAAAATTTACCAACTCGGATTTTCAAAATCTGAGTAGGTTATAGTAAAATTGTTCAAAATTGTAGAAAAAAATCCAGGTGTTGGATATTAGGCCACTAAGAAAAGAGCAGTCCAAAAATTCGAAATTTATTTAAAATTAACTTAAAAAGGTCTTCCATGATTCGAACTCCAGGCCTTAGTCCGCAAAGTCGCATGCATTACCTCTAGACCGAATGAGAATGATCCTTGGAAATTGCTCAGGGTCAATCTTACAGCAAGTAAAAATTGTTACAGATTTTCGAGAAAACTTGTTCCCGTGAAAAAATTCTAGAACACGATTACAAGTCACTAGCTCTCTCAAGTGAAAGAACAAATATAGCAGCTTTAAGCCGTTTAAAGTTCAGGAATCTTTTGAGATAGACATTTTTTGATAAAACTAGACCAATTTGAAATCTTGGACTAGAAAACAAAATTCCTTTTTTTTTCAAAATGAAAATCATTCATATTCATTCGCACGATTTGCACTTTCGTAATTGCAGAGTTTAAATTCAACAGAAAAAAATCAAATCACGAAAAATCAAAATGAGCATGATCATATTTCTAGAAAAAAAACTTCGCTTATTTAGGTCGCGTGTTTTTTTTCCAATTAAATGATAACTCACATCGTTCATTAATACGTATGACAAAAAATTCTAAAAAAAAAGAAGGATAGCCGTTTACTGAGCAAATAGCACAGAATGTTCCGACCGTAGTCGTAAAAATACAACAATGTTTTTTTTTCAAATTAGTGTCGTTTTTTTCTGCGTGGTGTAATAAAAGTATTTGAACGAAAAACTAGAACTTAAGCACATTCGACAGTTCTTTCAAAAAACATTTGGACAACAATTTGTAGAAAAATGACTAGAAAAACAAAAACATAAACTTTTTGATTCCCAAAATGGCGCCAAAAATAACTTTACTCGAGTTCAAGCTTTTAACTAAGCTTATACGGCTTAAATGACGCATAAATAAGTTATTGTAAGCCTGCTCGCTCGTTTCACTCGGTCAAAATTAGACAAAAAATCAAAAACTTAAAGATTTTGAAAATCCGAGTTGGTAAATTTTTTTTATCCAATGGTTTTGGCTAATACTTTAATGCCTTTTTCACTTTATTTTGCATAGTTTGCAGGCCATAAATTGATTTTTAATGTTCGGAGTATTTGAGAGGGGGATGGGGTGTAAAAAAATCATGTTTCAGTTCGAATCACGACTGAAAGGGCTTTGATATGATATATCACTCAACTCACTCCGATGATTATTTGTGGTTACTGATTTGCGTGGAAAACAAAAAATGGTCGGAACAATGAGAAACTTTGAAAAAAAAACTTTCTCCTATAAAATTTGGAAAATGACTATTTTTTTTGAAACTAAGCTCGCACGCTCTTATATGGTTAGTGAGCAGCAGGTTTTTTTGATGGACTGATTGACTGACAGATAAATAATTTTATTGCAAAACAAAAGCAGATGAATTCTCTGTACTTTAGCCCAACTTATGTAGCAACAAAATCACTGTGACGACTTCATTCAACTGTGCATTTGAGTTTTCAGATTCACCGGTAAAAAAAATTTCCGGTTGAAAGCTCGTTAATTTGCAATCAGAACTCAGAAGAAATATCTTAGTAAATCAGCTAATATGATAATTCCTACAATTGTAAGCTACAATTGTCCATAGAGCAAATTATATAGAGCGAACCTTCGTACTTTTATAGCACTGGATTAGACGGACTACACGCAATAAAAAATGTTCAACAAACCGGCAATGGGTATGGAAAAAAAAAGAAAAAACTCCTTTAACTCTAAAACAACAGAAAACAAAAAGCTTTTCAAAAACTATTTTGAAGACTTTGACAGAGACTCCAAATTGAAAAATCTGGCAAAAAACACGGTAACAAAATCACCTTTTTAAGCGAAATGAATTGCTAATTGACAGAAGACTTTTTCCTATTATTTTTTAAAAAGCAGTTTTTAAAAATATATCACAATATTTCAGTTCATTTAAAAAAGGTACTTCTAACCTAGCTTTTTAAGATTTGCTTTTATACTAAATACCGTTAAAGCCCTACGCAATGGCTCACTAACCCTCGGTTTAATAACTACAGGAATATAATTAAGGTAAAACGACCCTGATTTGGCAGCTATAAATCGGGCCGTCCAAACACTGGCCTCAAATGTTCAAATCGTCTGCAGCAGCATTAGTCATGTCTGGTAGTAAAAACAAGAACCTTTTTGCAAATGTCGTTTTTAACGTATCGCTTGCTGATGTAGTTCACGGCTTCCGTGCCCTGTTTGATTTCCCTGGGAAGCAGGCCCAACATGGCCATCAGCTGGGAGGCGGGGTCTGGACATGGAGTGCTTGTGGTGCTCACTGGGACCGGAGGAGTGAGAGCATCCATGGAGCTGTCACTCATTGAGTCCTGTTTGTTCAGTCTCGCTTCCACGAAGATAGAACGCGACGACCGCACACTGTGTTCGGTCGGAGCTACAACACAATCGAACTCCTGTTGAAAACTTTAAAAAAAAAAACACGAGTTAAAAACATCTAGTAGCCTGTCAATAAATCAATAACATAATTGAAAACATAAACTTTCAAAAATCATTCTGGTTACTTTTTTGGTAATCGAAATCTAAATCAAGCAAACATTCGTAAATTTATAATTTCGATTTTATCAAAAACTGTTTATTTTTCTCATTTTGATCTAACGATATGGTACTCTTTTTTTTTAACTTATTTGCCCCCTTTCAAACTAGGCTTATTACACTAGTGTTCATGTACGCACATACTTTTAAATTTCTAAGAATTAAGAACCTGAAACATTACTCACTATTTCTAAGGGTCAAACAGTTCGCTTGACCTAATACATTACCCACTTCGTGAATTACCCACTTCATAATACATAAACCTTGCAAATCCTAATTCAATACTTTGGTGCTATTTAAGACTGACTTAGTATCTTACTCTCAAGTTTCAAAAAAAAAATTTGTTTTTGAGAATAAGGGGAAATAAAATCTTGATCAATTGAAATCATTATATCATATTCGGCAGGATAGTTCTTGAGAAAAGTCAAGTTTCACAAAAACAGTCATTATGTCAAAAACTTGCCTTTTAGGAGACCAAATTTTTTTCTAAAAACATAGTGTAGATGTTACGCAGTTTTTCGATTGAGTCCTGGATTCCAGATTTGGGAGGGTGTTTTTGCAAAAACAAGGTGAAAAATGTCAAAAATGGCTGCTCTTGGCAAATCTTTTCTTGGCCAGAATTTTTCCTATAAAACTTAGAGCGTAGCAGCCTATGCATCGAGTTTCCAGCAACCTGCTCTTTCGACTGTACCCTTAATTTCAAAATTGGCAGAGTAGTTTTAGAGAAAATTCAAAAACATGGCTCAATCAGTCCCCCATTGAAAGTTTCGAAGGCCTTCGAAAGAGAAGTTAGGTGAAAAGAGAATAAGGGAACATGCAGGCACACATGATAGTAGCAAGTAATTTTTCCAAACCATCAAAAAAATTAATTAAAAATTAACAAGGATAGCCGGTTACCGTGCAAGTAGAACAGAATGTTCCGACCATTGTCTTTAAAAAACAAAGTTTTTTTTTTAATTAGTGCAGTTTTTCTGCGTGGTGTGATAAAAGGATCTGACGTAAAACTTTAATTTAGGCATAATCGACAGCCACATTAAAATACACAAATCGGACTATTTTTTTTGTAGAAAGACGACTAGAAAAAAAATTGCAAAAACTAATGTTTGTTTTTTCATATTTTTTGCAGAAAACTTTTAAATTTGGTTCCTCAAAAACTTAAGTTAATTCTTTAAACTAAGCTTTCAGGGCTTTTATAAATCATAATTAAGCTGTTAAAAGCCTGCTCGAAAGTGAAATAAAAATCAATTTACGTCATTCAAATCGCAACTAAAAGGGCTTTAATATATATCAATCGATCCATTCCGATGGTTATTTGTGTTTCCTGATTTTGGTCAAAAACTTAAACCCACCCGAATACAAGTTTCTCCACATTTTTTAAATGGTCTGAACAATAAAAAATAAAATCCTTTCTACTTTCATACGGTATTTTTAGGTATTGCACTTTACATGAAAAAAAAGACCAATAGAGTTGCAATTAGTTTTTTCTTCGTTTTTTCATGTTTTTATTTTTGAATTTACTTAATTCAACCCTTGCGGTCGGAAAACTCTTCCTTTGTTGCTATTGTTTATGTTTTCGTCAGCATACATTTTCTGTTTCTTTACTGTCACATCTAGTTTTCGGCTCACCTAGGAGTTCGTTCAGTCGGAAATTCGAGATGACTAGGTCCTCGTGGCCTCGCATCACACTTCGCAATCGCTCCGAGGTGGAGACGGAGCGAGGCAGATTCGAACAGGGCTGGTCTCCTGTGATTCCAATTCCAAACCAGTGGGCCAGAGTCTGGATGAAGAACCGGTAAGCCCAGTGAGGCATTAGGGATGAAAGTGGTGGTTTGTGGTGGAAGTTCAAAACTACCACAGTCGAAATGATACTGAAGGAGACCATGATCATGCTGAACAAAAAAACTCTCAAATAATTCAGTTACTCGAAAATAATTCATTTACTCGTATCAAATACTTCTAAAATCGAGAAAAATCAGATCTGAATTTGAATTATTCTTAGAAACCGTGGACACATCGGAGTTTTCTGAAAGAAAGCCATCAAACATTTTATGATCACATCAGTGCTGACCATTTGAATTCATTGTTTCTGATTAAACCAAATGAAACAGAATCAAAATTGTTTTCGAAATAATCAAGTTGGTTTTAATAAAACTCAAAGAATAACGACGATTTCTGATTAAAAATCAACAATAGTTCAATGGTCAGCACTGGATCAATTGAAGTATATAAAAAGCAGGCTAATGCTCGATCTAAGCTATCTAAAGCCAGGAGAAAATATTATGGCTTGATTTTTTCCCAATTCCTCAATATCACTAAAAAATTGCATGAAATAATTCAAAATAATTCGAACATTTAATACCTCCCCACCCCCATCTTCCCAAGAGAAAAAAATGTGCCAGAAACCAGGGTTGCATGATTAAAATCAACTTGATTCAAATCAATGATTTAAATCGGATTTTAATCGTAGAATAAAAATAAAAAAAAAATCAACCCTTTTGTTATCCTGCCGAGTGCCGCGGTAAACATACAACCCAGCTTGCAGTATTTACATTGGTTACGTACTTCGCTCTTCATAGCATACTTTTAACTGGAAAAGTTTTTCAGCACTTTCGGATTTATCCATTCCAGTCTCAGAAATTGACTTGGAACAGAAAAATGGGTCCGTAACTTGTGTTCTTCTTTTGGATGCTGAATCACTAAGTTTGCGTAAATAAATTGATTCTTGAAACAAAAGCCTTTCCAATAAAAATCGAAAAAATCAAGGTAAAATAATAAAAATCGGATTTAAATCAATCGAGAATATACATCAGATTTTTATGCAACCCTGGCAGAAACTAACCTGAAAAGTAGATACTGGCAAATGAGAGGCAGAGCAAAACTAGTAGTGGGCACAAAATTCTTCACCACGATCAGGAGCAACATAGTCACCGAGAGTAGAATAGAAGTACACAGGGGAATCTTCTCGTTCGTCTCCGAGGGCAGATAGAATCCGAGGATGGCGAGGAATGTGAGGATGACGATGGGACTGACGAAGTTGATGGTGTAGTAGAGAGACAAGCGACGCAGTTGGAATTCACACACCATGGCTGTGTGGAACAGGTCTGTGCCTGGCATGGGGGAGCGAGTGCAGCGACAGGGCGACGACAGAACCTTCCACTCGGCCGAGGGCGAGAACGCCACGGGGTCGAAGATCACTTCATCGTCACACAGAATCTGCAACACAACAAAACGAGATTTAACACCGGCACGCTAATATTTCACCAAATGTCATTCGCCCAACAAAAACAAAGACAGTTGATAAAAGCGTTAATGACAAACCGAAGAAAGAAAACGACGTATATTCTCCACGATGTATAAACATTTTTGCTAATGAATTTGGAGTTTGATAGATCAAATAACATCACTGTTAAAACTCGTCCAATTTCTCTTTTCTGTTACGATTGACACTTCAATGAAGAATTAAACGCACCTAAAAAATTACATCAATAGATATTCCGCTAATTTTTCAAAATCCAAGAAATTCTAAATTGAAATTTACTGATAACACTGAATTTCAAATCTTATTTTCACGTCTTTTCCGCTTTCGTTATTAGAAAACTTCAGAATTTTTTCTCGAAAAAAAAACTTGTTACAAAGACGCGCAGCTGAGCTTCGCACCACTTGCGATACAGAAAGCCACCGAATCGTAAAAGCCAAGTTCCAAGTTGACAACGCCCAAAAAAACACCCGAAATTTTATGTTTGTCCAAAAATAAACTCATTTTGATAGAAAACGTGAGACGGAACACAACAGAACAGCCAGTATTGAACCAGCCTGAAAATCTTGAAATTGCGTTACACATTGCGCTACAAGATAGTGAATGGAAAAAAGACAAGACAAAAAAATTCAGAAAAATTAAGTTGAAAAAAATACTTGATAAATAACTTGAAAAAGTAGGAAAAACTACAGCTACAAAAACTTCATGGCTGTATCGGATGAATTTCAGAAACAGCCTTAAAAATAATTGGAAATCATTTACCGAGTGCAAAAAAAGCGACAAATTTTGGGTCGAAACCTGTTGAGCCGAGAACAAAACGAGTGTCATAAAAAATGTCATAAATTTTGTAACTTTCTACGACCCATCCGTACTGAAATACATAATCCTATACGAATTTTACCCTCAAGTTGACTAAGTCGATATAACATGAACGGTTTAAATATTTAAACAAAAAAATTACAAATTACTTAGCTTTCATTTATAGTAGAAAACTGTTTAAATTGGAACAAAACCCATGCTTTTGATAAACCCAATGAAAACCCTACGAAATCACAAAAGGCGAATAAAAAACTCAAAATCAACCGAAAAAAAACTAGGACAGAAACCACGAACGCGAAAAAAAAATTTAAATTGTTTTGAAATAATAGTTACAACCTGAAACAGTCTTTACCTAATTACTACTTAATTGATGGTTGTTATTTGAATTTCAAGAATTTGAGCATGTCAAAATAGATATTTACCATTCTTATTAAAATTACCATTCTGTCAACAAAGTTTTTAAGGGGAAAAAGACTAGTCAACACTTATTCATAACACATATCCCGCTGTGCAGTTAAATTTCTGTTTTTTTTTTTATTTTTTTTATTTGCCCCCGGCCTGCTCAGTGCAGGAGCAACCGTGGGGGTTAAATTTCTGCTCACATCCAGCTGTGACTCGTCGTAGGTGACGGAGACGAACTTCATGGGACACCTCTGTGTGTCGTAAGGGAAGTAGAGGACATCCATGAGACAGGAGCTGTGGTAGATGGAGGGAGGCATCCACTGGATGGTGCCATCTGCACTGATCAACAGATTGCACTCGTACGACACTTCAAACTTACCATCAACACTACAACACAAAGATTGCTTCGAGATTATTTTTATACTGTTGATTTATTGATTAAGACTTGTTAAGAAATTTTTTAGTAGCAATATGTATATTGAAGAAACTGGTTATTTATAATTTAAATGCGTAAGAAAAAACTCCTTAAATGCTAGAGAAAATTAAGACTTATGATAATTTTTTTAGTAGCAATATGTATATTTAACCAACTGGTTATTTATAATTTAAATGCTTGAGAAAAAAAACTCTAGTATACTTCTTCTTCAAATTTTTACGAGATTTTCTTCGCCCAATTATTACACAGAGGGGAAGCTAAGCTTTGCAACACTAGCCAGAACACGACAAAAGTAGCTCTATAAACTGCAACAAGAAAAAGTAGAAATAAGCCTCGAATAGGTCAAAAAAAATTCGGCTACGTCTCAGTCGAACCTACTAACTACTGCAACCTAGAGATTATGAATCTCACGCACTAACCAGTCAGCCACGAACGCTTATTAATGCAGACGCTTAATAAAGCAGGGACCAGATACTAGGCAATTTTCAATGCTACAGTGAAATTTCCATATAAGTGAACACTTTCAATTAACACTTTTATTTGCGAGTTAGGTTACAACAAAAAGAAAGTTCGTTTTAATACACTAGAACTCGCAAGCTGGCTAGTGTAATCAATCTAACTGAAAATAATACTTTGCAACCCTTTGGATTGGTCGTCTGATTTAAATCTTTGCCGGAAATCTTGCTAACCAGAAAGAGATTCAAAACAAAAGATTAGATAACACAAAGCACGCCTTACTAAGAAATTCACAACGGAATGAATCAAAAATAACAGTTTTTAAACTCAACTTTAAACATACATGAATGATAATTATTAGGCCAAAAACACATTTACTTGTTCAACAGCACTATGTCTGGATTCCAGGCCTGCGACGGCGGCACCCGGATGATTTGGATGTTCTCGAAGTCCTCCGGCAGCCAGCTGAGGTACCTGTCGTTCCAGGCATGAGTGAACCAGACACTAGCCTTCATGTACTCTGCCTTCTCATCTATAAGCACTATCTGCAGCATTTCCAGGGTGAGGTTAACGAGTACTTTGTGAGTGGGTCTCTCCACCGGACGCGTGTAGCGCGAGTAGTTCTTCCGATCGAACAGGTGGTGATACAGACGCTCTTCATTTGTCTGACCTGCAAAACAATATTCCATACAGCCCAGTTGAAAACGCGCCCAAACATTCATTACTCAACACGACTAGCAGATCAAAACTCTCTTAATTATCAGCCCAATTACTCATCATTACGAAGAGGCGAAGACGCACTTCGGAAACAAGAGCAAAAAAATGATCAAAAAGGAAAGATGTAAGGAAAACAAAAATAAGTATTGAAAGAACATCAGCTTCAAAATACAAAAACCTACTCGGCCCTCGAACTCAGCTCTTTCTTCATAGTTTCCCCCACTTGTCCCATTATTTTAGCCATGATAACAAAGAATGAGCTTAAATGGTCCCGATATAGTCAGGGCATCCACTTTAATTAACGTATAAACGTTGCATAAAAACTTCATTAAATGTGCTACCTTAATTAGAAAAAAAGTAAATTGATCTTACGCTAATATTGCAAGGTCTGGCTTGAGACATATTATCAGTTAGAATTGTAGCTTGGTTCAAAAAATGAGAGCTCCCTGATATTTGTAAAATTTCCTTTGGCACATGGTACGCGTTCGATAACAACAGATTTGCTTCGGAAAATTCAAATACGACGTGAGTTTCCCGTAGCTCAGCGGTGTCAGCCCGCACGAGAGATGCAAGTTTCGAAGAGTACAGGGCACCACCAAAAATGGGGAATCATCAAGAAAAATAGCAAAAAAAACGTAAATATGATCCAAAACCGTGAGCAGCAGGAGTTTTGATCTGCAAGGCTTGGTTGCTGGATGAATTTTTTGACAACGGCTTCATCACTGACGAGTCGATATTCCAGGTGAAAGGTATATAAGACGATAGGCCATTAAGACGACAGGCCATTAAGACGCCAAATAAGAGTTATTACATGTAAAATGAGCAGTTCGACTTTAAGCGATTTAAATTTCTCAGAAATAATACATCCCATCAAAAACGTTTGTCGTCACATCGGCTGTCGCCTCATTTGCCGGACACCGATACCTCAGTTATACAAAACTAACGTTCTTGAGCGGGTGAGTACCCACAGAGCCGCATTCCCGGATAGCCAATAAAAATAAATACCTCAGGTTTTGACTAATTTAAATAAGAATTTGTGACTAAATTGAGACACATTTTCATTTGACAAAAAATGCCTCAAATTTTGCAGCCATTCAAAAGATTTGATTGGGCAATACGTTTACTATCATTGAATTACTTGAAAACAAAAATCCGGCTATTTTAAACGCATGATTTTTTCTAAATCAATACTTGAGCAGACACCTGTTGAGCCAAAACATATTGTTTTCCCACCCCGAGAAACACGGATATAGTCCTTTTATCATTCATCGAATGAACTAATATTTAGCCTGATAGTCTAAAAATACTAACCCGATAGCCTAAAAGCCGAAATCTTTGAAGCCAATTAATTTTTTTTTAAAACGAAATTTTAGCAAACCGGAGTTGGTAAACTTATAACCAACACAAGAAGCAAATTTCGAATCGAGCGGGTATTCAAAATGCTGACAAGCTCAAAATTTTGGTTATTTGACGAAAGTACAGATTTTGAGATGACCACCAATTTCACCAAAGTCACCCGGTGAACAAAGTTATTTACTGGCAAAATATCTACCCCGTTGCAATCAATCGCAAGGGTAATTAATTGATCAAAAATGACTGGCTGGTTCGAACACATTAACGACGACATGTTCTTGAAGGTAAGTTATGTCGCATCAGTACCTTCTTAGCTAATTTGACAGATTCGACAATTAATTGTACTTTTATCGGTAAAAGTGCCCTCCTGAAGTATGCCAGAAGACATCAGGGCAACCCATCCAATTCAAGATAAACTACCAATTACTTTCACCAAGAAGTAATTATTATTTATCGATTGAACGATGAAAAAGACAAATCAGTATTAAGAAGTAAATGCAAGTTATCATCGAAGTGTTAACTTAATTCCAGCTATGGAAAGTCGCACTGAAGCCCAGTTAGCTGGTATCAATTGTTAAACTAGATGTTCCGAACTTGATAGCAGGTTTTATCTGACATTCAGCTGTTTTACTGTTTTATACAATCTCATAAAAACGAAACTTACTTTTCTTATCACAAATGAAACTCATGGAAATTGGAACGCTTAATCATGATGAGCAACCTTGTGATCGCCATGTTTTTTAAGAACCAAAGAATCTACTTCTTTTCTGTTTAAGGATAGTTTGGACCCCATATCACCCTTATACTAGTACCGACAATTCTTTTCAAATCTGAGAAAAAATTCTTAGAAAGAAAGAATTCATTTCTCCAACTAAGCGTGCAATACGGTTAAATAGCATCAGATAGTAAGACTCGAAGAGGACAGACAACGGGACCTGACCTTGGTTCCACCAAGCGTCTGCAGTAAATCACCATAAATTATTTGAAAAGTGGACCGATTTTTTAAGTTACACTTTCTTTAAATAGTTACACTAGCCACTAAGTTACACTAGCCACTACGTACCTTCAACTCACAAAATTTATCCTAAATCGTGAAAACTTAAAATTTTCATGTCCAGTTGAACTAATTTAACGGTACAAATTATCATAAACCTGTGTCATGTCTTTTAACCTCGGACTGATTAAACAAACCGGGAAAAATTTAAATAATTTAAGAATTGCCCGAGGAAATAATTGCACTTATTTGATTAACTCAATCAACATGGTACACCTGCCTTCTCCGAGACGAAATAAAAAACTGAAAGCTTCCTTGAAAAAAGCTGCAGGAGAAAAAATCAAAACAGTTTGATTATTTACAAAAATCAGCACGTCTTTCTTTCAATCAAATTTTGAGAACAACTTGGAAACTTGGAGAATCAGTTACCAAAAGAAAGTGATGAAATGAAGCTCATTTTGAGGAAGTTCAATTTCCGAAGCACCTTAGTACGTCTACCTCAGACTTACCACTGATTGATGAATAGAACTAGTTGTCAGTAAACTAAAATGCAAAATGATCGATACACGCAGAGTTCAACAAGGAAGTTCGATACATGCAGAGCCCAAAAAGGAAGTACTCAAGACAACGATACTGTAGCCCCGCAACAGGGAGCAAACTTTAAAATGTGATTACTGCGGGCACATATTGATCACAACAATTCAATTTGAGTAAACAGGGACAGGGTCAATGAGATCTAACTCCGCTGGTAACATAATACAAACTTGGATTTAAAAATTTTACGGAACCCAATTTATCGCAAAATTTTCTTCCACTTCGTATTGAGCAAAGCTTGAGCTTCCTGAGGAAAAAAAGACTTGAATTGAATGCAAAGCATGCATCAAAAACATAAATGACAAGACCAAAAAGAAGTGTAAATAAAGTTGATCAAGTAGCGAAACTAAGCTTCGCATGATTTGCAGCTCAAAAAGAAGACTCAAAGGAGTCGCTAACTCTAGACGAAAAACCATCACAGAAAAAATTCAATCCAAAGGCTTAAGGCTGATAAAAATCAGTGATGTTCAAATTTTGCATAAGTAATTGATCTCGGTAAGTACTGAGGATTTTGATCTCAAGTTATACGATTATACGCTTTATATACGAAATACAAAATATACGATTATACGTTATACGATAGTCAGATTTAACGATTATAATTTAAACGATTTTTTTTATTATACGTTAATACACTGGCTCAAAATCAAGTATACTAGCGTGTTTGTCAAAATTTGACAACTCATAAAAACCGCATATATTGAAAATAAGCTCTGCATCCTTTGAGTGTACTCTGACACCACTCAAACCATAAAATTTTGTGAAGTTTCTTATATCTAGGTTCTTTTAAAAACTTGAAAATTACATAAAAAAATGTCACATGTCGGAAAGTAAAAGCAATTGAGCAGTCGCATTTAGACTAAAGGGTTGTTGGGAAATTCAAATTTCGAAAAATAATTTTAAATTTAGGTTTTCTGAAAGTTTTTCGAAAAAGTCACAAAAAACGTCAGTTCTCGAAATCTACAAGGATTTGAGCAGTCCAATTTGGAGGAAAACTTTGCAATCCCTAGGAGTCCCCTTAGAGAGTCTAACTATAGATATGAGAGCTTCGAACTTAGAGAAATTTTTTTATATCCGAGTTCTTTGAACATTTAGAAAAAAATGACCTAACTAACGTCACATCTTGGAAACTAACAGCATTTGAGCCGTCACATTGGGACGCAAATTTGCAACTGAATTCCTGAGAGAACCTTTACAGAACCCAACTGCAAGAATGGGAATTTCGTATCTTTTGATTTTTTTGAATACAAGTTTTCTGAATTAAAAAAGAATACATAAAACACGTCATATCTGGAAAACTACAACGATTTGAGCAGTCATATTTGGAGGCAAGAATCGAAATTCTAAAGAGTACTCTGACAGCACCCCACTACAGGTTTAGTAACTTCAAATTTTGTGACTTACTTTTTAATTTGAGTTTTCTGAAAACGTATACTAAAAAGATTTGGTCATTCATAATTGACAGCCCCGAAATAAACACTGAATTAAAATGGAAAATTGAAAAAAAAAATCTTAACCATTGGAATATACGATATAGCTTGAATGTGCAAAAAATCTTTCGTTAAACATGCAAAAACAAAACATTGAAAAAACTTAAACATGGCGAGATAAGGCAACTCGCATTTAAATATATAACAGATAACTGTAGTATAAAATTGACTAAAAAACGGCGACTTCGAAGTATTTCATGAGCAGGCACGAACGCAAATTATTTTAAATAATTGGCAAAAAAACAGATCCAACGAATCATTTGAGAAAATCGGGGAAAATCTGATTTTTTAAAACTTTTGCTGCTGACTTGAGACATCGCTCCATTCTTTGCTTCCTTGTGACTAAGAGGAAATGGAAAAACAAAAAAAATGAACCTAAAATCTTAAATCATCATCATCATCATTTCCTTCCGTCTTCTCCTAGTCTACTGACGTCGGCGAGGCGTCTCTGAATTGCCGAGCGCCATGAGTCTTAAAAACTTAATCATCAGCCTAATTATCAGACTACACCAACAGGATATTAAATGTTAGCAAAAATTGCTTATAATCATTACAGTAGACCGTGCTGTGCCGACTAGGCCGTCAAAAAAGAAGGCAAATGACATTTCGACAATAATTGGAGACGGAAAATCAAGGCCAGTCGACAAAATTCAAGGCTTAATTTTCTAGTTTGTAAAAAGAATACGTATGCGCCAAATTAGGACAGTAAACCTTCGTAGTGCCAGGTATGGACGTTACCTCAATGTCAAACGAACATAATAATAAGCTGAATTTGAACGTGTTAGCAATAAAGAAGCAGTGAGCCATCAATTGAATCAATGAGCCTCAAGTGGAAACATGTTGGCAAACGATTTAGTAACGGTTTGTAGTCGCAACCTCAATAACAAGGCATCCGTACTTGAGCTAAAAGCTCAAACAGAGAAGAGTATCATAGTATCGAAAAAAATGTAAAGATTGCCAAAAACTTATCAAAATTTTTGTTTTAAAAAAGATACTAACGAGGCCTATCACAAAAATAACTGAATAGCGAACTACACGAACTACAATAATATTCGTACTATTTCTTGAGACCCAATATTTACCAAAAAAAAATTCAACAGAATGAAATTATTATTGAAACAAAATTTATCAAGCCGCAACTAAGCAGACGACAGTTGAGCCGAAAAACATTGTATTGCCTCTTTCGCTGTTGAAGTTTTTTTCATGATTCATTAAGGCATGAAATTAAATTTTTCACTTCAAAACATTTATAATGATGTAACTAAACCGATTACATTTGTTACCAATGTAAAAAAAGCCATTACAAGACCCTTTCTCTCGTATATTATCTTAAACAGAGGTTAAGTGCCCCGCCCGTTTAAAAATCTGGTTATCATTTTTTGATAGATTCATAAAAAACAAGGATAGCCGGTCACTGTGCAAGTAGCACAGAATGTTCCGACCAGTCTTAAAAAACTACGTTTTTCCAAATTACTGCCGTTTTTTCGGCGTGGTGTGATAAAAAGGAGCTGAACAAAAAAAACTGGGTATTAGGTATATTCGACAGCCATGCTAAAATAAGCAAATTGAAAAACAATGTTTGTAGAAAATGTGCTAGAAACATTTTAAAAAGTTTTTTGCACTTTTTTTGAAAATTTTGATTCCAAAAAGGCACGTTAAATACTCAAAGTAAACTAACTTTACCCAAGTTAAACTGAGTTTTTCGTTTTAAATTAAGCTCGTTTTCCAATTATTATTTGTGGCCTTGATTTTGCTTGGAAAACAAATTGAAAAACTAAAACACCCCCGAATACCAAGTTCGTCCCCATTTTCAATAGTCGGAACAAAAACAGTACAAATTTAATCAACTTTTTTTTTTTTAAAAAAGGCCGATTTTGCCGAGCAGCAAAGGTGTTGTTGCTATGCTCTCCGTGTCTCATTCGAGAAGTCTTCGGTTCGAGGCCCAACAAATTACGGGCTCGTTCTTCAAGATGAGGGAACAATTTTCAGAATATCAAACAAAAAATGAATCCGTTTGTTTCTCTACAGAGAGATAAACAGCTCATATGCTGGACCTTTCCGTGCAAAATGAACAGTCCTAAAAACAACATCTTACAGGATTTTAAAAACAATCCAATACGACAGAGGCGAAGAGGAGCTTTATCATTTATGAAACTAAACGAGAAATTAGCCGCATGAAACACAAATTAATTGCAGCCAAACCATTAACTACTTTTTGAAGAACTAAAAAACGCAATATCATGCTTAAAATCAATCGTTAACCCTTAAACCAAAACAATTTTAGGTCCTACTTCGAGAAGAAAAAATACCAACAATTCTGACTTTCCAAATTTGTAACAACGAACTTTAATAAACTATCCAAAATTATCCATTTGAACGACGCGATATCAAATTAAGTGACGCAATATGAGGCGACTGATACTCTTTAGGCCAAAATTTATAAAGCGGAAAAAACTTTAAAAATGCAAACAAATTCAGATTAAACGTTATCAAGTCTCACTCACCCTCTAAATAAACAAACAAAAAACTATTTAGAACGTCGAACGACGCAATATGAGGCCACTAAGCCGATATAATGTAGGACCAGGGTGGGATCTAGGATTTTCTCGAGAGGGGAGCGTATTTTCAAAAAAAAATTCGAAAATTTTGTCGACCTTTTTTTTAGGTAGGCCAAATTGATTTTCTGAGCTCTCCCTAATCACAATGAAGACCACATTTTTTTGACCAAATGTTCTGCGCCGCATGCTAAGTTTGAAGAAACAGGCCAAAGAGGGCATTTTTAGGCACTTTTTGGAATATTCTGACCAAAAAATCGCGTTTTTTCGGCGCGCGCTCACCCTCAAAATTAGTATTTATTGGCACTAAAGGCGCCTTTGGAAAAATTTTAGGGTCAGTCAGCCAAAAAGGGATATCTCAAAATAGTACAGAGGGGAGCCCTTTGGGTCTGCATGGAGTCGAATCCCTGAGGGTGGCGTCCCCCACCCCCCCCCCCCCCCCGCACCTAACATGTAACATGTCAACAAGCATAGCATACATCTGCATCGCTAAATTTATTGCTAATAGAGGCTTCCAGGAAAAGAATCCAGATGAAGAAGTCGTGGACGAAATTATTTACGGGGAAAAAAGCCTAGTACCCGATTGCAATACCCTTGCTTATCGCAACGGTAAACAATTTCTAATCGATTTCTAGAGTAAGCTTGTAAAGCAACTATTAAGCTATATAAATAACAGTTTTTGAAGTTTCATTTCCCACATTCCCAGAACAAAAACTTTACTAAAAGTAACTTGAACAAGCTATTTTTTTTTCTTTTTACATCTTGCTCTTTCACCTCCTGAAAGCCACATGCACAAAACACCATTTTGAACAAAATTAAATATTTTTATATTATTCTGGTCGAAACCTTTTATGCTACTAGCACAAAAACCGCAAAAACCGTCTATCCATGTTGACATAGGCTTTTTATAAATCGAAGAACGAAGTAATGAAAAAATGAGTGATTTTCAATTTAAATCTTGATTTACCTTTGGGAGCAGATTGCGCGGTTGACAAAGAACACAAGGCCAATAAAAATATCGGCGGAAGTCTCATTTTATGAATTTATTAAATGGTCGAATTACTTACTAATAGTTAATAAAAGCCTACTTTACTTTTAGTTTGCTGTTTTGATCTAATCTTTTGGAATAAATAGTCGGCCCTTTGTGCCTTTTAAAACAAACTGCGATCTACAAGTTGAGATTTGAGGGAAGGAACAGAAGTTTTGAGCTCTAAATAGTCATCAAAAGGAAAAGAATCCATAAAATCAAGCTCAAGCTATTGACGGCAAAACTGCCTAAATAGTGCTCGTGTTTAGTTGTCAACTTATCGGAACAGTAACTGGAGATAAACATGATCGGTCTAAGAAGATAAGCTTTACCCAGCTCAGCAGACTTTCATCAACTAACATCAATATGATAAGCACAGAGATTTTTAAGTCAGGGTATAAACAAATCGGAAAAGTCCCTGGTCCATTAAGTTAACTTGCTTTTAAAAGCGAATCAAAGAAAACCGACTGAAGATATCTTAACAGTTAACACCAATTGCAGAATGTTATCCGGAACTAAATAAAAAGCAAGCCTATCAATTTGATTTTCTTCATTTTTTGAGGAGCATAATTTAAGAAGACATTTATTACAGCTTAAGCACCGGACTCTCCCTAATACGCATGGTACTAAAAGTTTCAGCTTTCAATTCTAAAATTAATAGGGATAAATTCATCTGATTCTTTCACATTCCAGAGATAAGATAACACAAAGAGCCTTTTGGTTGATCGCGAATAGCAATTGAGTCAGTTTTCAATTAATTCGTCCGATCTTCGATCCGTTTTTAGGGAATTAACAGTCAAAAAAAGACAAAGCGGCCGAAAAAGCCCTCAATCAAATCAATACCCACAATCCGTAGTAGTTAATACCAGTCTGACCCAGTGAATCAAGAGCTGCATTAAATCATAACACTTGAAGGGCATTATCTTGACAGACAATTGCCATTGAATTGGTCTATAAAACTTTCCGATGTATCACTCGATAATATTTTTCACAGTACACTCAATTCAGCCGCAGGAAAAGAAAGTTAAATAAAGTTACTCGGCGGGATCAAAAGAAAAGACTATTGTTCTTTCGCCCCTTTTAAATACCAAATTTGAGTTTAAAAAAGGAAATACAACTAAGTTCGCAATCAAATTCAACCCAATAATCCAGGAGGTAGAAAATGAAAGAACAAATTGAACTCAAACAAGCGTTAAATACGAATTTAGAACATTTCCCCAAAGAACAAAATCAAGACTAATATTCACAAAAGCCAGGAATTATACTACAAAAATTCGATAGAGTAACTTCTTCATTATCCAAGGAAAAAAAGATACCGTTGGCAAAGGCAATTGATTAGAACAATGTAGCCTCATTTCATGGTAACTCTAATCACCGGTCAGACTGGTTTAATTATGCATAATTTATGAAGTGGGATCATTTTTCAAGTTAAGTAGACAAATTTATAATAGATGTTGAGAGAAAACTCCCGAATTTGCAGTATATTTTTTCAAATCCCAGATAAGGTCAAGTTATCTTCCGCAGTGAACAAAACATGAGCACAAAGAAACACCTTTTTCTAGATATTGATCATCTGCTGAGTAGCTTCATTTATGAATAGCTTTCAAAGAAGACGAAAAACTACCCGAGGCAACTTGGAGAAATCCTTGCTTTTCCCAATAATTCTCAGTTGTCATTCTTTTCGTTCCGTCCCAGTACAATAACAGCAGCAGTGATGACAACTAATGAACAAGAAAATTTGGCATTAATGCAATGAAAATTCGTTTATATTTTTGAGTTTCTTTCAAAAAAGTGTCACCCTTTCACACAACTATCAAAACAAGTACAAGCGAATCAAGTAAAAAAAAAGATGAAGTGAGATGTAACTTCTAGTCATCTCAATTTTGGCTTTCGAATGAAATAAAGATAAAAAATTTTACGAAAACCTCTCCATGACGCATCATCTGCCAGTCGTATCATCTTCCATGTTTTTTCTATTGAAGGAGGACGGTTTTATTTATCAGCAGAGAAGCAAAGCGGAGCGTGCTACCGAGTGGCCACTCAACTAACAAAAATGGGTAGACGCTCATTGATCAGAAAACAAAAAAGTCACAAGAAATTGTTGTCATAAAAAAATTTCGAACAATTATTTTAGAAATTTTGCAACACAAACTACCTGAAATTTTCAAAGAAAAATCAACCATTTTTCGCCTTTTAAGCGACACAACCCAAAGTAAATAAGCCGATAAAAGACCTTTTAAGCGGCACAGAACCCAAAGTAAATAAGCCGATAAAAGATAAGCCGAAACAGTAAAGGCCGTAAATGCTTTTAAGCTAAAAAAAACAAAGAGAACCAAGGATAACATATACAAAGTCAGGGCTATTTATTTTACAAATTACAGGAGTAAATCAAAATAACTTGCATCTACGATGGAAAATGCTGCCCGATCTAGATAATTCCTCGATTTGGCAACTAAGCCGACAAAACATCTGCAGAAAAACGAAAAACCGACTATTCAATTTTTCCAGGCGAAAAGAACTTATTTTCATACATACTGAAAAACATAAGGTCCCACCGGGACTCGAACCCTAGTCATTAAAGTACAAAATCAACCGCTTTAACTTTAAGCCAAGTGGAAAGGAGTGGGGGAAAAGTTTTAAAAAGTCGAAAAGAAACTCAACTAACTAGATGTACCAAAATGAATAAAGCTAGTTTGGAATGTGAAATTAACATCGAAAATAAACTTAACAAGCGGTAAAAAGCCGAAAGCACTTACGCAGAAACCATTTCAGCCAAAAAAAAATCAAAAACACGAAAACTAATTTAAAAAATGTTCGAGTCCCCCTCCCTCCCATCAATCGACACAATAAAAGGCCATTAATCCGACAAAAATCAGGCCGAAACCATTTCCCCAGAATAAAGTTTTCAGCGGATGGACAATTAAATGAAATCAAGCAATTCAAATTCAGACTCATTTGTTAATATTCCGGGAATATTTTTAACCGCTCTGTCGAAACCAAGATAAATCTTTTTCTTAACTAAAATATCCTAAGAATTAGCTGTTTGAGCTATCGCGAAATATTCATATGGTCCGCTGAAAACGAATCAACCAAAAATCAGAAGTCATCTCTCAAATAAGACGACAAACTACAAACTCAATTGCCAACAATGAGTTAAGATCAAGAAGATACGGCTCGATTAACTTGTCGGGTTTTCCCTATCTACTGTGGATGCGGAAAGAAACAAAAACACAGACAGGGTACAACATACCATCAACGATTGGTCGCGATTGGTCATGGCTTTGTACTTCTCGCTATCAATTCGAGATGGCCAAAGGGCATCTCAGTTCCCTATAGGAGCTAGGGTATAACGCGTCTTCATCAACGTGATGCGCATGCCTGTATGGCTGATCACTTCTCGCCATCAACGACCAAGGAAACTGAGAAATGCGACTTTAACCTAATAATAACTTCTGGAAATACAGGAAAAGTTCGTGCTGTGAAAATCAAGCCACAAAAAAAAGCAGATACAATAGTCTGAAAATTTAATTTCTTATCGAAATTGTATCATTCATAATTCTGATGGACCTAGTTGTCCGTTCTCTTTTAGTCTTTTGCTTGTCAATCTAGTTTTAAAAAAGATGATGTGCCTCCTATTGCAGTAGGTAACGAGTTTCGGAGCTTTGCGTCTAAGAGTGGAGGTCACCGTTTCTACAGTGAGTGGAAGAATTCCTCTGGTACGCTCCAGCTTGCTTTTGGCACGCCAGGAGGTGCTGATGCCGGCGTTCACGCGAAGTTTTGGTACTACTATGATAGAGTGGTCCCTCGAAAAAGCAACTATGATAGACAGGTCCCGCAAGCATGTCAAATCAACGTCATAGCTGCAAATCATGCCGTAAACCAATGATGCCTTCTGCTGAAATGTACCACTGTGTGGGATGTGACGCAAGGATGCATCTTGATACTACATGCACTGGTTTGACACCTGTGGCAGTCAATGGAATCAGGGAACTGGGAACGAGAGTCATGCTTCTCTGCAACGACTGTGTAGCAAACAACAAGAGGGACGACTTTGTTCAAGATGCTACAATTCAGCAACTTAAAGATAAGTTCACTACTGATATTATTGAGAGCAAATTTATTCCGGTCGTCAATACCCTAAAGCCTGTAATCGAAAACACGATAGAACAAATTTTCAATTCAAAATTGAATGCGCTTACCGAAAAAAGCACCGAGAAGGCAGAAGCCTTAATCAAGAAAAATAGCATGAAACAGAATGAAAAAATGGATGATAAGAAGTCAAATTACTTTCACAATGTGTCGAAATGTCTAAGAATTCAGGGAATTCCTGAAAACAAAGATTTTTCAAAAAATGAAAATGTTTTTCACGCAAACGAAACATTAAAAGAAATATTTGAAAAACTGCGAGTGAATGCAAACGTGGAAAATGTACATCGACTTGGAAAATTTTCAGAAAGTCGCTCTAAACCAAGAGTTACTATGGTTACACTATCTAGTGAATGGCATGCAAAATTGATATTAGCCAAAAGTGCTGAAATGTGGGATGACCTGAAAAATATGGGGTTTTTTATATTGCCTGCCCTAAGCTATGAGGATTCAAAGAAAGAAAATTTATGCCTTCAAAAAAGACGTGAATTGATAAATGCAAACGTACCACCCAGCAGCTTGAAAATTTGTAACTTCCAATTATTCAAAGACGATGTTTTGGTAAACATTGATGCTAAAAAAGCCACTGAATGACTAACGTACCTAAACTGTGTACTGTTGAATGCCAGGAGTTTAAATAAAGTCGCTCTAAACCAAGAGTTACTATGGGTACACTATCTAGTGAATGGCATGCAAAATTGATATTAGCCAAAAGTGCTGAAATGTGGGATGACCTGAAAAATATGGGGTTTTTTATATTGCCTGCTCTTAGCTATGAGGATTCAAAGAAAGAAAATTTATGCCTTCAAAAAAGACGTGAATTGATAAATGCAAACGTACCACCCAGCAGCTTGAAAATTCGTAACTTCCAATTATTTAAAGACGATGTTTTGGTAAACATTGATGCTAAAAAAGCCACTGAATGACTAACGTACCTAAACTGTGTACTGTTGAATGCCAGGAGTTTATTGAAATTTGAAAGAAGAAGTAAATTTGTTTCAGCTGTATCTCATTGTGCAGCATCTGTACTTTTAGTGACTGAAACCTGGCTAAATGATCAAATTGAAGACACTGAACTCATGCTACTTGAATATTCTGTTTATAGAGCGGACCGCAAATTAACAGGTAAAACTTCGAATCACGGTGGTGTTCTTATCGCAGTAAGAGATTGTTTTAATTCATATAAACTAAATCTAGATTTACCAGAATGTGCAGTAGCGGTTCAAATAGAAGTGAACAATTTCAATTTCGTGATTTTTTGCGTATACAATCCCCCAGAAGATAGCAAATACAGATATAATTTTGAAGATTTCAAAAAAATTTTTGATTCGATTGTCTCCATTAAAAATCATCATGTTCTTTTATGTGGCGACATAAATTTCCCTCAAACGGATTGGAGAATTAACCAAAGCACGAGTATATATGAAAATGAAATTTTGGAATTAGTAGACGAAGCAGAAATGAATCAAATAATTGAATTTCCAACTTGTGGTTCAAATATATTAGATGTCGCTCTAATGAGGGGGTTGGAGGGTTTCGCTAAAATTTGCACGAATTTTGAAAAAAGCTATGATATAACAGATCACAGACCTATATCGCTGAAAATTGAAATAGATGTTCAAGACGAAAAACCAGTCAAAGAAAGTTTTTATAGTTTTTGCTCGGCGGACTATGATGGCATGATTGATTATATGCAGAAATATCCCTTTTCACCTATTTGTTTTACAAATATCGATAGAATGTCTGACAAAATGTACGAACATATCAACAATCTAATTTCAAATTTTGTTCCAAAACGAACCATGCATAGACAAAAACTACCACCTTGGGTGAGTCCAAAGACTTCAAATTTGATTAAAATTCTAGAAACAAAGCGAAAAAAAATCGACTCAAGGCCTACTCCCCATTTGCAGGAAACGATAACGAATTTTGAAAACAGTTTAATGCAAAATATGGAACTAGAACGAGTAGAGTACCAAGAAAGTATCTTAGGTTCTCGAAATACTAACATGATTTTCAAACATTTCAAAAACTTGAAAAAGCAGAAGTCGAGCCTACCGCGTGAAATGGAATTAAATGGTATTAAATATAAGGAGTCAACTGAAAAAGTCGAAAAATTAAATAATTTTTTCCACTCTGTATTTACTCCGAAATTGAATTTTAAAGTAACAGACATTGCTTGCGAAAATGCTTCCCTCATAAATTTTGACATATCTCAAAACAAAATCCGAGAATTGTTGACTAAACTGCCGCCTTGTTTTTTGAAAAGTTTAGCTAAACCGATGAGCTCCATTTTAAATGCTATTTTCAAAAATATCAAGAGGGTACGATGTGTACCTAAATTCTGGAAAAGTGCTGCTATTTCGCCCATACACAAAAAAGACGACAAAAGGCAAATAAAAAACTACAGACCTGTCTCGTTATTAACAATTATCTCTAAAGTTCTCGAAAAATGCATGTACGAACCACTTTACGATCACTTTCAAAAATACATGAAATCAAGTCAACATGGTTTTGTTAAAAAGAAGTCGGTTGTAACTAATCTGTTAGCATTTTTACAACGAGTTTACGAGGCGCTGGATAAAAATCCGAACGATGAAGTGCTCGTTTATTACACCGATTTTTCCAAGGCATTCGATAAAGTGCCCCATTTTGAATTGTTGAAAAAAGTGGCAAATATTGGAGTAGGGGGGTGTTTTTTGGAAATCTTAGCGAGCTATCTTGAAAACAGAACGCAGTGGGTAAAATATGACAATGTATCATCCTCTTCTAAATTAGTTACAAGTGGAGTTCCTCAAGGGTCTCTGCTGGGGCCGTTACTGTTTTGCATTTTTATAAATGACCTGCCAGAAGTGCTAAAATTCACTACTCCCTTCATTTATGCAGACGATTTAAAACTTTTCTGGCGGGCCTATCCAAATTTGAAATACAATCAGATATATCGGCTTTAGAAAATTGGGTGAACGGAAACAAAATGGAGTTGGCTCCTGACAAATGCAAAGAGCTGATTTTTCGAGGAAACTCAAATTCAATTCAAATCAATGGGCATTTGCTTGAATCAGTAGAAACAATAAAAGATTTGGGGGTACGTATTGATAAAACCCTAAGCTGGTCAAATCATCTAATGGCGAGAATGAAAAAAGCTGATCAGATTTTCTATTTTGCTAAAAGAAATGTGGCAAAAAGGGTTTCACAGAGATTAAAATTGGGTGTTTACAAGTCAGCGGTTTTACCACTTATAACATTTGCATCTTCGTGTTTTAATATATGCCGCGCAAATTTATCAAAACTTGAACGATTCCAGAAAAGAGCGCTAAAATGGGTAACAAACAGTTATGAGAGTGATTATCTAACGTTGTTGAAACGAACGAATACATTGCCCCTTACTATGTTCATACAGCTATGCAATCTATTGAATCTATCGAGCTTTTTTCACAGTGAAAACGATTTACAAATACGACTATTAACCAACAAGTCTGCCTCAATTACAAGACAAAATGACGGCCCGACATTAAGCCTTAAAAAAGTCCGCACAGAAAAAGCTCGCGCTGAGTTTTGTTTCAGGCTGTCTCGGGTGGCCAATCATCTACCTGGAACAGTAGATTTCTTCAATACCACGGGGCTAAAAAACAGACTCTTGAATTTTATGTGGACCTATCAAATGGCGAAATTCAATGAGGCGAATCCTTGCACATGGATACTGTTTTGTGATTGTCGAAACTGCAGGGATGTATGGAAGACGTTTTAAGAAGAAACGAACTGGGAGCAGTCCCATCAGAAGTATTTCTGAGAATCCACAACAACAACAACAACATGCTATAATTTTTCGAAAACTAATAATCGCGCGAAATATAATGATTGAGAAACTTTTCTTACTTTGCAATTAATAAAGTGTTTATATCAAGAAATAATCACGCTTCAACAAACGTTACGGTCTGAAACCCATATTTGGGTTAACTTATTTGTCATGAAAAATCAATTTTGACATTTTTTGGATTTTCCACCTGAAAATGGCGAGGGGGGGAGGTTTTACGAATGAAACATAAAAATTGTTTCAAACAAGTAAACTAGTACCCTATAACCTTACTCAGAAAGTGCATTTGGTACTAAATCTCGTCTTTTCTACGTCAAAACAGTCAAATCTTCGGACGAAGGAAATCAGCAAGGGAATCCTGAAGCCCGCCCACTTTCTGCGACAGCGTCAACGATATCATCCAACAGGTTAGGTCAGTGTTGAATTTCTGGTTCCTTGACGACGATATCAAGGAGGAGACTACAGTTTCTGGTTCCTTGACGACGATATCAAGGAGGAGATCATAGTCAGTCCTGATGATTCGTCCTGATCAGTCCTGATGATAGATATCAAAGATCAGTCCTGATGATTGCGATCTGTTTTTCTTGGTTGGCATTGCAGAAGAACAGAAATATGTTATAAAAGGCTTCCTCTAGAGCCTCACTCCCATCGTTCGTTTCCCTGGTACCTTTCTCACTGACTTCGCAAGCAGGGTCCATCATGAGATAATTGCCCTCCTCCATGTCTCCAGGTATACACCAGTCCTCTGTGGATGGGTTGTCTGGCTAAATGTAATCAAAGTGCGCAGCTCGGCCATTACTCAGTTTGTAAAAACGTCCCTCCTGATGCACCTCCGTTATCATAAACGGTCCCCTGCACTTGTTCAGGAGTTTCTTCGTTCCTTTCGGCGGAATGACGCTTTGAAAGACTCACACGTAGTCTCCTACTGAGTAAGCTTTTGCAACAGCTGCTTTCTTATCAAACCTTTTCCTCTGCCTTGCCTGTGCTCGCTCACTATTTTGTCTGTACAAGACGTTCAGTTCTTGTTGACGTCTAATCACATCCCTAACATAGACTTGCGGTGATGTTTTCTTTCCTTCATGCTCTGGGTAAAAAAAAGTCAAAGGCAAATACTTTTCGTGTCCAGTCAACATCAAGTGTGGAGTAATTCCTGTGGCGGAGTGTTGCGTTCTGTTATAAGCTCCCATCGCTTGCGGAAGATATCTGTCCCAATCAGTCATGTATCTGAAACAATAAACCTTCAACATCGACACCAGAGTCCGATTTTGCCTCTCCAATAAGCAGTTCATCTGGGGGTGGTACGTCGCAGAATGAGCCTGAGCCACTTGAGAACGTCTCATGAGCTCCTTAGTAAGTTCTCCTACAAAATCGGTTCCATTGTCCGATTGGAACGTCATTGGACATCCATGCCTCGCTATCCACGTATTAATCAGATGATCGCATGTCTCTTCTACTGAGGCATTTATGCAGGGCGCAGCGTCTGCATATATCGTGAAGTGATCGATCATCACCAGGACCTGATTGTAGCCACTGTCTGTCATGCTTATCTTCTAGTGGTCAGGTCAATCTGTACCACCTCATTGAACTCAGATGACACAATCGACTGCAATGAAAATCGCAATTTCCTCGGATCCTTCACTTCTCGCATGCCTCCTTCATCCCAGGCCATTCAAAGCGTTTCAGGATCCTCTGGTATACTTTATCAATCCCTTGGTGTCCCATCTGATCATGCGACCTGAATAAGAGTTCCGTTTTACAGAGTTGCGGCAACACTATCGCATTATATTTGTTCAGGACATTGTCCTCTTCTCTCCTTTTACAAGCCACGATCCCGTCCTTGTTCACATATAACCTTCCCTCTTTCTGCATAATGTTTTTTCTTAGGATACTGTAACTGTCCTCCTCCAGATCTCCTTTTTCTGGTGCCCCATTCTCGATCCACCTCTTCAAGTTGCTCTTCATACAGTCATTCCTTTGCGCTCTTTGTAGTTCTGAGAGTCTGTATCTGGCCTTCAAGTATGTCTTCATGACCCTCAATTGACTATTCAGCTCATCGGGCTGATGCGCGTCATTTTCCATCTTCACGCACCAGATTTTCGCCAATGGCTCTGTCTCTTGTCTGAATGGTTGAAGGTCAGTCCTGGCTGCTTTCTTCTGCGGTAACAATTTCATCGAACGTTTCAATACTTCTATTGTTTCCAGTTCATCTGCTGCGTTATAAAGGACTCTTTAACTGGGTACCAGGTAGCGATCACTGTCAGGGTCTTGATATACTTCCCTGTCCAAGTCTCTTGCTCGAGTCTCCACTAGTAACGTGTGGATCGCTAGCTCTGACAACTCTGATCCCGTGCTCGAGTTCCTGTCTGAGTAGGTGTCGATTTCTGAGTTCCTCGATTTGTTGTCAACGGATGATTCTGCCACGGAGCACGTCTCCACGGCAGGTGCCGACCTGTACGTTCTGCTCATCCATCTAAACTTCACGGACAAAATTTTATCCTCCAAGTCTTGTTCCTCTACACGAACATTTCCTTCAACATCTCCGGGCAAACTTTCTTGTTCCGGGTTTTGTTCATTAACTAGACAACTTTCTTCGAGGTCCTTCTCCCCGGACAAACTTTCTTGCTCCGGGTTTTCTTCAACTTCTCCCCATTTCTGATCGAAATCCTCAAAGTCTTCCTTTGTGTTCCAATCTCCTGTTCTTTTTGCTTAAATGATTTCCACATCAAAACTCTCTGAGGAATCGAGGATACTAGTTGCTGAACAACCGTCCTACAATCCCTTTCGTTTTCCTTGTGTTGGCGCCTTGATGGTATGATCCTTTTTTCTCCCTGACTGTCAGCGATGCCATGGCTGCTGCCCATTCTTGGTCATATTTAGTCATTTCTCTCTCCAATAATCCACCCAGCATCCACATCACTTGTGGTGTGACCTGCACCGATTTATCCAGCAATGAGAGGCTGTTTATGTTCATATGAGAGAGTTCATGTTGGACCAGGTTATGTTGATATGAGAGAGTTCATGTTGGACGTAGCAACAGATCCAAAGGCATCGGGTCCTCCTTAGATAAGATCTTTATTTTAGCTGCCTCCTCCACCAGTAACTCGGGGTCTCCCGCAATTGGATGTCCAGATTTGTCCAACCATCTCGTCAAGGGAAGCGCTTCATAAATTATTCTGTCCAGAAACAAGAACCCATCCTCAGTTTCCGCCTGATTGGCCTGCTTCTGTTCTAGTCTTTCATAAAAGCCAGTCTTCTTGCTGAGGCTGTCAGCATTTTGGTGTTTGTCACGCATCCTGTGCTCGATCATCATGTGTGAGCCGTCTAACCTGACTATCCACCGATCAATATAGCTCTGGTACATCGAGAACCTCTTCAACCAGGATAACGCTCTGTTGTAACTTAAAGCGAGCGCTCCCCAAGTATGCGCGGTACTTCTCCACAAACGGAACTACCGCAAACATTTCTGCTTTTGGTGCACCATATTTCATTTCAGTGTCACTCAACACTTTACTGCCATATGCAATGGGACGGGGAACTGTTCTCCCATTCCATTCTTGCTCCTGGTGCAGTATTCCTGAGATGGCTACTACTGAAGCATCAGTGTCGAGAACGTACATGTTTTTCTCTGTCGGCATGCCTACCAATGGCGCTTCGCACAGTTCCCGTTTTTTATTCACGACAGTTGCCTGAGCTTTTTCGTTCCACTCGAACTTTTTTCCTTTGTTGCGCATCAGTTGCTGCATTGGGTACACCTTATCTGCGTATCCCTTTATAAACTCGCGATAATAACTGGCAAATCCCAGGAAACTCATGAGCTTTGTGTCCGTTCTGGGAGTCTTCCATGATAGCACGGCCTCCACAGCATCCGGATCCGGCCTCACGCCATGCCTGTCAACCATCATTCCCAGGTGTTTGATTGAATCCCTAAGGATCCCACATTTCGATGGTTTGCATTTCAATCCGGCTCTCTTCATGCAAGGGAAGACCTCGTCGAGTCTGTCGCTGTGATCTAACAAGGTGGGTGTCGCTATGACCACGTCGACCACGTAGCACATCACGAGGTTCCGATACTTCTTCGTTATCCCGGTCAAAGCCTGAGCCATCAGTCTTTGAAAAGTCGCAGTGGCATTGCACAAGCCGAAAGGCCTCCTCTTCCTTTGGAACAAACCCAATTCACATGCAAATACAGTCTTCTCTCTGTCCTTGTTCCGCAGAGGATCCTGCCAGAAGGCAGAACCCACATCCAGTGTAGTTAAAATCTTGGCATCGCCTAGTTTCGAGAGATCTTGTCTATGCGTGGTATTGTGTACGCGTTCTTTATGGTCACCGCGTTCAGGAAGCGAAAATCACAACAGAATCAAAGCTGTCCCCCTTTCTTTATAGCCATGACAACTCCGCAAGCGCAAGGTGACTTCGAGGGTTCTATCATGTCGTATTCGAGCAACATTCGTTTTTCCGCTCGGTTCGCTTCCGATTTGTGTGGTGTCATGAGATTCCCGAGTGAGATTCCGTTTCGGATCTCATTGGAAACATGAGATTCCAGGTGTGATGAGTTTCGTGCTCGACGAAATTACAACAACCAATATCCGCCTTATGTTTTGAAAAAACGTCCGCGTTCCGATTTAAAACTGCCCTTAATGATTCAAAATCTCCCTCACCTATTATACCTCTCAAGAGCTCTATCTCTTGCAAAACTGATTAATCAGACTCTAGTTCATATGACGAGAGTCGTTCCGGAAAACTCATGTGCTTCAAAGGCGTTGAGCTGTTCTTGAGTTCTCTTGTTCTCGTGATCGAGCTTGACTTTCTGTTCTATTTCTCCTGTCGCCAATTTCTGTTGGACTCCATTCAAGGCATCTCTTGCCGCCGCTTTATAATCAATCTGAAAGTCGTTTGCTGGGGTTCCAGGTCCCGGTTCACACATTTCTTCTGAGACCGCCTGCATTTTCTTCTTAGCCAGCTCTAGCGGTTTCTCTTTCCTGCGGGCCTTCGCTTTGCTCATTAGGCGTGCCTTGCTGGCTTTCACACCCGATAAATTTTCCTCATGACTTGGATGCTTAATTTCGGCCACAGCATCCCAAAATTGTGGACAATCTGATTTAAAATGACCCTCCAAGTTGCAAAAGAAACCCCTGGGACTGAGTCTTACAATTACTCCTCTCATGAAATCTTCATGATCGATTTCTGACGCATCTTCATCCTCGAGGCTGAAGCCTATCGTCTGCATACCTTGTTAGTATGTTGGGCATGCTGATACATGATGGTCCATCGAACTGCAGTTTGCACAAGAGCGTCTCTTGTCCATGTCGTCTCTCGGTTTGTACCAATTGTTACCCTGGTTAGCAGGTCCATTGTTAAAATTGCCATAATTGTTTTTGTAGTAACCTGATCTCATAGGATGCTTTAGATGAAGGTATTCCTTGGGTTTGAGTCTCATTTCCTCCAGTGTAGGCGCATTGGTTGAAAGCGGTGTGTAATGCGTTGTCAACTTTGTCCGGAGCTCATCTTTCTTCGCACCATCAATGACTTTTGAGGCTACTGCTAAGTTCATTCTGCTGTTTGACTCTTCCGGTTTACAACGCCGTCTCAGCATTTCTAAGTCATCTATGAGCTTGTCAATCATTTCGTCTTCACGTTGCCTCCGTTTCTCGAAGCGCATCATTGCTTGGTGTCATTGTACCCCTGAGCCAAAACGATTCAACAAGATTTCGAAGATCTTTTCAGCTGTTTCCCGTTGGTAATGCTTTTTGGTCATCACGCAATTCAGGGCTGTGCCTTCCAGGCTGCTGGTAAGCGCGCTGCAATATTGTTTTTCTGTCAAGTCTTCCTCCTCAAAATGCAGCTTCATGACCTCTATCTAGGTATCTGTACAGCCGCCAGATTCGTCTTTATAACATTTTGGTTTCTTAAAAACTCTTCTGGACTTCTCGCTGCGTTCACTGGTCCTAGATAACCTCGTCAGGAAAGCTTCCAAGGACCTGTTCAGAGGTTCAAACGCTGTAGCCATTACCGCTGCATCGCGTGAATGCCCTGCTTGAGCGTCGTTGCCCTCCGATAGAGGCTCAGGAATTTCCCTCCTGTTCGAGTCGCCGGGTTGACTTTTTACTTGTTCCGCATGACTCCAGCTTGTGAAATCACATCTCCCAGTCGTATTTGCGTCTCGCGTCGGTCGTTCGTCGGAGGTTGGTCTGTTGCCAGAAGAACCTCCTCTGAGATTTGGGCCCCTTGGCCTATTATCTCCTGTGGCATAGCTGAATGAACTGCCCCTATCTCTCGTGGATCCATATGTCCACTTTCTGTTAGGTTGTTCGTTGAAGTTCACTCTCGGCTCCCTGTTGGGTTCTCCTGAATTTGCTCCTCTATTCCTCAATCCACCCCTGTCTCCTAGAATACCATCCAACCTATCCATGATAGCCTGAGTGCTCTTGTTCACTTTGTAATTTCTCTATATCATCTCTCAGTCGTGTCTCTTTTTGCTCAGATTCCCTCGTCATTCGCGACAACTTTTTGGCCAAGTATTCATCCGTGCTTTCCTTCAAGC